GACCCCTTTTTATTATATTTTATTATTTATTTGGGTGGGTGGGTGCACAAATGTGGAGAACCATCCGTAAAAATCTGTGGCAAGTTCCTTTACCAGCTGAGCCATCTCGCTGGCCCTTGAGAGATGGACCATTTATTTTATTTATTTATTTATTTATTTATTTATTTATTTATTTTTGGTTTTTCGAGACAGGGTTTCTCTGGGCTTTGGAGGCTGTCCTGGAACTAGCTATTGTAGAACAGGCTGGCCTCGAACTCACAGATCCACCTGCTTCTGCCTCCGGAGTACTGGGATTAAAGTCGTGCGCCACCACCGCCAGGCTTGACCTTTTAAATTCAAATAATAAAACCTAACTCTAAAGCTGGGTGTGGTGCTCATACCTGTAACCCCTGCTTTTGAGAAACTGAGGCAGGAGGACTGCCTAAGGCTAGAAAATCCTGCCTCAAAACACTTAACACAATATCTTAAACTAGAAGTAAAACTCACATAACAGTTTTTAACAGAGTCGAAAGCGCTTTGATCTCAAGATGCAAAAAGACTCAAACATACTCAGGACTAGGTGGCGTCCAAAACTGCGTACACTCCTCCCATCCAGAAGCGCGGCTCACTCGGGGACTACAACTCCCATAAAGCATGACGCTACTGCGCAAAAAGGACGTCAGGAAATGTTTCAGAACTTCCGGCCGAGAGTTGCCTCGTAGCTCCCCAAAGTTTTGTGCAAGTGGTATCGGCTCCTGCCTTCCCTTTATGGTTCTTCCCAGCCTGAGCGACGTCCAAAGAGCAATCCCCGAGTTCCAGAAATTACCTGCAACCGTTTGTCCTCTGTTTCCAGGATCTGGAAACCACCGAGCACTCGGGTGGAAGTTTGCTTTTGTTTGTTTATATTACATTTCTTTGGTTGGTTGGTTTGAGGGTGGATCACACTAGGTAGTCAACCTTGCCTGCAAGCGTCTTTACCGGCTGAGCCATGTCCAACGCTCTGTGATTGAAGTCTAGATTAGACTTGGTTCCCCACTCTCTAGGCCTGCTC